AAAAGTCTTGTACATTGTGTGGGATTTGGGGGTATCATTGATTTCAACAAGAATGTCTTTATTATTTTACCATTAAATACATAGTTGCCACTGATGTGAGCAACTTCCTTTTTATCATGTGTAAGAAGACCCTTCTAGTCCTTCTATTGATACACTCAAGATGACTTTTCACTTTTACTTTAATGATTTGATATACAATATTAATAAACTTCCTAACACTGAAACTATCTTACATTTCTATAGTATTAATAAATCTGGTCATGATGATTTGTATTTTTAACATACTGAATTCTTCCTGATATTTTAATTAGGATGCTTGTACATGTATTCATAAGAATATGTGCTCAATATTTTGTGCTATCCCTGTCACATTTTGATATTTGGGTAAGTTAGTTTAACAGTGGAAATTCATTAATATTATCTTATGTTCTAAAATATTTATAGAAGATAGGAGTTATCTGTTCCTTGAAAATTGAAGTAAGCTAGAGCTTGTTTCAAGAGTAATTCTTCAGTAACATTCTCGGTTTCTTTGACGGTTATGGTGTAATCAGTTTACTTCTTGTGTCAACTCTTATTATTAATTGTGCTAAAATATGTTTTGTTTCCCAAACAACAACTACATTAAGCTTTTAAATGGATCAGCATACAAATGATAAGGAAGTTTCTTGGAATTTTTGCTTTCCTCTCCAGCTAAGCTTAACACTTTTCTTCTTTCTCGTTGTGACCATTTGAGTCTTTTTTTTTCTTGATCATAGTTGCTAGAGATATAGATGCATTTAATTTACTGTTTCCATCGTCAAGTTCTCACCTATTAAATGTATTGATCCTGGCATTTCCTCTTTTCTATCTCATTTATTTCTTCTTTTATCTTTATAAGTTTTTTCCTGATTTCCCTAAGACTTTTTTAATTTTCTTTCTAAGGGATTAAGTTGAATGCTTAATTCATCTACTTCATTTTGCTTTAAAAAAATAAAATAAAGCAGTTATTTATCTCTGAAAATAGTTTTGGCTGCATCCTGTGAATTTTTTTTTAAAACAACCAATCCAAAAAGTTCTTGCCATTCTTGATCAGCCTCCAAAGGTGCTGGGTTTAGAGATGTGAGCCACCATGCCCAGCCCTTGTTTTTAGTAGTCAGTGGTTACTTTAAAGTTTTCAAAATATCTTAGACTTATATTTCTCAATATTTCAAATTGAGAGAACAATGACTTTAATTCCCCTTAATGGAGTAGTAATGACTAACTGTTCCCCCAGGTGCTATTACATCCTCTCATTTGTGCCTGGGACCCAGGACCATTCCTCCTGCTTCTCTATATTACCTTCAGTATTACATCTTGGCTCTTTTCAAGAGTGAGGGTCACCTTGTTAACTACTTTTTTTCCTTTTGATTTGCAATCCATTCCTATGTTCATCATAACTTTAGTCTCTTTCCACAGCCGGCTCTCAGTGCTTGGCTCCAAGCTTTTCTACCTTGATGTCTCTGTCCTGCGATCTTCTCTGTCATTATTTCTTGGCAGTCCAAAACTTTAAGGCAGTTTTTTTTTTTTCCCCAGAGCCCACACATCCCGGACAGTACTTTCACACTCTCCTTCGGCTGCTCCTAACCTGTGGCCAACCAGCACGGGTCCTAGTCTGGGCAATGCCTATCAATATGGGATTCTTGGATAGGCACCCTTTGCTCAGGGACACCCAGTGGCCTGGCCAACATGTTCTCAGGTCTGCACTGTCATCTGAAGCTCTCCCTTCCCTCTCTCCTTTCACAGGGCCAGACCCACGGTGGCCTGAGGCGCTCCCTGTCTCCTTTTGTTCCCACTGCCCTTCATCCTTCCCTGGAGCTTCCCTTAATCAATCTCTTAGATGCCTCTTGCTGTGTAAGTATTTACTTCTGTAGGAACTTGGTCAGACTCAGCCTCTCACCCAACCACCACACCTGGGTTGGCCAGCCCCTACTCCCAAGTGCACTGATATTATTAGCAATCCTTTGAGAAGGATGACTGTTTTATCTCCTGCTGCAGTCTGGAATGCATTTATGCCTTTTAATCTTTTTCCAGTGAAGTTCCGGGGTTTTTTAAAAAGAATTTTCAAAAGGTGATTTCTTTGGACTTTCAGAGGGAATTCAGAAGCTTAATTTTTCAGATTCTCTGCTCATTCTGCCCTTAGCTGGAAGTGTTTTTTCAATCTAATTTCTTTTTGCTCATCCATGGAGGGCTTTCTCTAGCTTCAAAGATTACCATCTGAGAGATTTCCATTTGCAGTTTATCAGTAATTCAAATGTGACTTTGGGGATAGTTAGACTGGAAAATACTCTTAGCCAGATTGTGTCTATCTTCCATACATGCACCTGCAACAGTCAACTCACACATATCTCAGCATCCCCAATTCAGCCATATTTTGGGTTTGGGTTAGTCATTGAGTACCATTGACTATTTTTCTTGGTCACTTTAGTGCTAGTTTTCGAACCACCAGCAACGCGATGGATTCACCATAGAGTCTGCCTGAGTATGACCCAGCCCCAAACTGATCTCTAAGTTTCTTTTGGAGAGTCTCATTGAATCTCTCTAAACATCAACTTTTATTCACTCTTATTTTGTGATTCTTATTTTTTTGCTATTTCTGGTTTCAAAGACGACATCTCTGAGCCAGTTTTGTCCTCCTCTTTGATGCTGCAATATTTTTCACGTAGACTAGACTCGAGCTTTGGCCTGCTATTCTCATCATTTTTGAATTTTATCTTGTTGGTTTCAAGTTGTTCTAGCCATTTTAGCCTATTCAGTGAGGACGAGGCAACCTGCCAACTTGCATTTATTCTGAGCATTTATTAGGAGCAGGTACACCTGAGGCCTGAGTTCAGGATGAGGATGAGGAAGTATGTTGCGCTAGACCTTTTGTGACATAACCCATAAGAATAGTTAACACAAAGGAACACATAGAATCTTTGAAAAGATAGAAGATAGTGCTCAGTGTATATCTATAATTATCCACTGAAATCTATGAATAGATATGTATGTATATATGCATATATATGCGTGTGTGTGTGTATATATACTTTCTTTTTCATTATGGGGTAGAGAAGGTTTGAGACTGGTATTCCATGTAGCAGCTTAAAAATTCTTTTTTCCCCACAGGCTCCCACACGTGCTGTAGTGATAAGAAGCAATAGCAGAATGAGAATTCTGCAAGCACTAGCTGTGTAGCAAAGAAAGGTGACAGGAATGTTTATCATGGAATTTTCTTTCTCTCATTAAAACTCTAGGAAACCCACCTGTTTATCAATAGGCCACTTAATGGATTTTAGAACATAGTGGCCATAAAGTTCGAGTGCAGTTGAAAGTAGTATACAACTTAAAATCGCACACACACTTTACGGCCACCATGCAATGCAATGAAGCTATGGGGAAGAAACAGTCACTCACTCACAGATGCTGATGTGGAACAATGTCCAAGGAACATTGTTAAGCGAAAAAGCAAAGGAGAGAGCTGCAGGTATAATATTTTCCAAATTTTAAAGAAGTCATGCATGTGCACCCATGTATGCATGTGCATGTATGCATATACTTGGAACATTTCTGGAAAAAGTATACAAAAGACTTTGAATCATGGTTGCCTCTGGAAAGAACAACTGAGGGCCTGGGGTACAGTGGAGGCTGACTTCCCTCTGTATGTTCTTTTGTGCTATTTGAAAATCTTATTGAGTGCATAGAATACTTTTTCAATTAAAAAAGATAGTGTAATTACATAAGCTAAAAAAAAAAAAAAATGAAGTGAAAAACAATAGCTGTCTTGGTTCCCAGTGCAGGATTCTCTGGGGGAAAGACTCTTCCTGAGAGAGAAGCAGGGTAAATAGCAGAACCTGCTGCTGGCTGCCTGCTGTGTGGTGGTCAAGGAAGAGGCCAGGCATGGATAGATGACTTTTTCCTGCAGTGCCCCTGGGCATATTCACTGTCTAGGACCAGCCACTGTCTAGGACACCAGTGACTCAACCTCACTTAGGGGAAGTGGGTGAGAAAGGAGGGAAGAGGGAAGTGGGCAGAGGCAGTGAGTGGGGAGAGGGCAGAAGTTGGTTTATATTTGAATTCTCTTCCCAGCAACACTGTCTCTGGAGTCCTGGGTTGACCTCCTGGTTTTGACCTACACCAGGGCCACCTACCTTGATATAGAACCCCACCAATGCCAAGTGCAGCACCCCCTAACCCTCCAATTGGCCAAGGTCTACCTCAGACCCCTATCCCTGAGCCACCACACCTCCTGTCCCTGAGGCCAGTTCTAATTTTCCACCTGCCATGTGGAGCCCTCAGGCCCCCCCTTCATTCCCTCTGGGAATACTCTTTTATCTGCATCTCTCTATTTTCTATTTGGTTTCCTTTTGGGGGGCATTAAGAGGCTGCAGCAGCTCCTATGTCTTCCTAACTTCAATTCCCACAGATAGAGCTCCAGCCCCTGCCTAGAAACCCAGGCAAGGGTTTTATTGCTTTTTGTTGTCTCTGGGTGAGTCAAATGTCCATCCTTGAACCAATGAATGAGCCAATCACTGTGTTCTGGGGAATGTGGTGACCACCCATAGCTAAAGTCAATTCTATTCAACCTTAAAAAACTAGCTGGGGAAGGGCAGTGGGGAAACGTATAATGAGAAGCTGAGTCCTTGAAACAGCTTTTGAAACCCTGATCAAGCTGCTCCTGAAGTTAGCCTTACCCTCATTTCCATGTTTTCCAATGTGTAAAATTCTCTCTCTGCTTGAACTAGTTTGGGTCATATTTCATGCTGTTACTTCTTTCAACAGAAGAAATTCTGATTGAAAAAGAGGGACAAGATGTCTATGCACAGTGTGCTTTCACTTTTGTAAAAGAAAAATGTGTGTATAGAAAGAGAGTGAGAGAATGAGTCTGGAATGATACATTGTGTATACAAAGTGTAGCAGTGGTTATGTCTGGGCTGCAGGTCAGCTGAACCCATCACTCCAAGAGAGTAAGAGGAGCCCTCTCTGATCTGTTGCTGGTGTTGTAGGAAGGAACATGAGTCAGCCAGACACAAGCAGCAACTGCTCATTCAGCAGCGTGGACGAGCTGATGAGGACCCTGCAGCTGGCCGTCCACATCCCCACCTTCGTCCTAGGCCTGCTCCTCAACGTGCTGGCCATCCGTGGCTTCGGCACCATTCTGAAGAAGCGGTGGCCCGATTACGCTGCCACCTCCATCTACATGATCAACCTGGCAGTCTTTGACCTGCTGTTGGTGCTCTCCCTCCCATTCAAGGTGGCCCTGTCCCAGGTGTGGCCACCCTTCCCTTCCCTTTGTACTCTGGTGGAGTGCCTCTACTTTGTCAGCATGTACGGCAGCGTCTTCACCATCTGCTTCATCAGCCTTGACAGGTTCCTGGCCATCCAGTACCCGCTCCTGGTCAGCCACCTCCGGTCCCCCAGGAAGATCTTCGGGATCTGCTGTGCCATCTGGGTCCTGGTGTGGGCCGGGAGCATCCCTATCTACAGCTTCCACAGGAAAGTGGAAAAGTACACGTGCTTCCACAACATGTCTGATGGCACCTGGAGCACCAAGGTCTTCCTGCCCATCGAGGTGTTTGGTTTCCTCCTCCCCATGGGCATCATGGGCTTCTGCTCCTGCAGGAGCATTTACATTCTGCTGGGCCGTCGGGACCACACCCAGGACTGGGTGCAGCAGAGAGCCTGCATCTGGACGATCGCGGCCAGCCTGGCTGTCTTTGTGGTCTCCTTTCTCCCCGTCCACCTGGGCTTACTCCTGCAGTTCCTGGTGAGGAACGGTGTGATCGTGGAGTGCAGGACCAGGCAGAGCATCAGCTTGTTCTTGCAGTTGTCCATGTGCTTCTCCAACATCAACTGCTGTTTGGATGTTTTCTGCTACTACTTTGTCATCAAAGAATTCCGCATGGATGTCATGGCCCACCGGCCTTCCAGGGTCCAGCTGGTCCTTCAGGACTCCACGCTCACCCGGGGCTAAGGGAAATATACCCTGCTCAGAGCTGGGAAACCCCAGTCCCCAATTCTAGTAGTGGGGGTTTTTGATGTAGTGGGATGATCTGTGCTGCATTCACTGGTAGGCTTCTCCTTTGATGCTCACTGAGTGCCAGCTTTGTCCATTATACCCCAAAAGACCTTTCCTCAAGGCCCAGATAGCTTGACATATATAAAGCTGTTCAGAGCCCTCTGAAGAACCCCAGAACCAGGTGAATTCTTGATTGCTAAGGCCAAAAATTACTAGGCAAAAGAATTGAGAACAGGAATGAGACCATCTGAACAAGGCTGCTTCCCAAACAATACCTGTCCTTCTATTAGACTAGAAGATTCTGGAAATAGAGAAAAAGAGAGATGAGTGGGAGGAGGGAATCAAGAGAGGCAGTTATGGTGGGGGGGGGTCTTGGGCAGAGATGGGGTGATAGAATGGATCAAGCCCCAATTTAGTCTGGAGATCCCGGGAATGAGCAGACTTGCATTTTCTGATCCCTTCTAGGGCTCTGTTGGCCAACAACCTCATCAAGATGACAGAGAGTGGAGGGGTTGGGGGGGGCAAGTGCACGTGGATAGCCCCATTTCCTACGGGCCTCAGAAAAGCACAGGAGGCCAGCCAAAGCTTCCTGTGAACATTCACAAGAAGGCTTCAGAGAACTGATGGGGCATTGGTGACACCCAGAGCCATGAGGGGACAGGATACACCTGGGGAAGGGGAAGACAGTCCAAGGGCTAGAAGTGGACTGGGCCAAGGGTTGCCACTGGGGTGTCCACCAGGAGGCGTGCTAGTGCTGGCCAAGGGCCAGGAGAGGGAGGGGGCCACCCTGGGAAAGGGAAGAGTTCTAGATGAGACTGGCTTTCTATCTCTAACAGACTGGGCAGATGTTTATTAGACTTAGTTTGTCTTGCTCACCTGAGTCCTGGCTGGGCTGCTGGCACTGGTGTCACTGCCCATGGAGCTGTGTCTTCCTGGTTGCTGAGAGGGAGAGATGATGCAGCCAGGCACAGGGGCCTGGGCTTAGCAGGGGGCTCTTGGCAGCTCTTTGGTAAACAAGGGAATGACTGCTGGGATGGGCTTCTCTGATGGTCTAGAGAAGGAGCATGCAGTGACAGCTGAAGCCTTCCTATGACTCAGCTGCTCCAGAGAGTGAAATGATTAGAAGGATAAATTGTGGGGTGGTTTTGCATGATGACAGCATGAGTGGGATGAGTAGTAAGTGAGACTTACTGTGAGCAAGGTGCAGGTTTGCAGGAAGAAAAGCAACCATGTCTACCTGGAATATAAAAGGCTGCTTAGTGAGGGTGCAAAGCCTGGGGGCTTCATAGGGGGAGAGAAGGGTGATTCAGATAAAACCTAGAAACCCAGACCTGCCTAGGGAGGAGGAGAGGGAGGAAAGGAGGGAGCAGGGCGGGTTGAGTGATTGCCCACGGCTTGACACCCTTGTGGGCTAGGGCAGGAGGGCAGGAGCTGGCACACAGAGCTGCTTCCTGCCCGGTGGCTCCCCAAATAGCCTGAGAACTACTGAAGGGCCGGAGCCACTGTCTGCTGTTGTGCTCAGGTGACACTCTGGAGCTTCCTCCTAGGTGACTGGAGGGAAGGGTGAGGAGGAAGGTGTCAGTGAAGAGTGGAAAAGGATGTGACTTGGCCAGGGTCAGAGGACCAGGACTAGCAGGTCCAGTCCCCAGGCCTGTCCCCCAGGAACCAGCCTGTCCCCCATGGAGTCAGAGGCTCTGCTGACCCAGAGGTGAGGCTAGGTTGTGCTCAGCTGCCCCAGGCCCTCCTCTCCCTGCTACAGACTGCACTGTCACATGCCATTCTGCGCAGACACCACCCATTATACTCAGAGCCAGCCTGTTGCACACAGCAAGTCCTTTGGGGCTAGATGGGGTAGAGGCTATAGGGGGAGCACCCCTCCTCCCATTCCTCTCTTTGCATTAGTTGCTGCACCAGCTGGCAGAGTTGAGAGGCACACCCACATGTCCACATGTCTATTAAAGTGCTCAGGTACAGATGGACTTTCTAAGAGAATGTCCCCAGGGGAGTTCAAACACAAAATCTTGTGTGCAGCCGGTGACAGAGAAGGTTCCAGAGCCCTAGGAGAGAATCACATAAAGGGTGAGGAGGGACCCAGGAGCTGTGTAACTATTAGGCTAAGTCCCTGAAGTGACAATCATGGATGTGTGGGCTTTGGGGACCCCCTTACCCATCCCAAAACACTCTGTGGGGAAAGGTCCCTCTTCTTTCTCCCCATGGGGACCCAGCCTGGCCTGAGTGTCTGTAGGAGTGGGCACAGGGCCACACTGCAGGCCAGTTAGTGATTCTGTAGGAGGGTCCAGATTCTGAGCAGTCCACGGTCAGCAGCCAGCCCTGCCACAAGGGAGGGGCAGAGGGTGAGTGTCAGGGTAAGGGTAGGTGCTACTCCCGAAGCAAGTGGCAGCCAAAGGGTCAGGGAAACCTGAACTTAGTGGTGGAAAAGGCTGAAATCACTGCTACTAAGGCCAGTGGAATTTGCAGCTAATGTTTGTCCATAATGCGACCTGATTTGCACTCTGAGTCTGGAATAACTTAGATGGATCTGTTAAATGTATATTTGTGAGATCGGCACAATTAATTGGAAAGAACTGATGTGATTAAAATGATTTGCCAAATAAATACATTCATATTATGCTGCATGATCTTGTCTTAGGCTACGCTTACTGGCCCTGGTAAGAGCTGGTCCCCAGTGAGCTCTGTCTTGTTTTCTTCAGTAGACCACTGGACACCAAGTGCTAGACTGCTAGGAGCTGGCCCTCGTGCCTGCCTCAGTACACAGCCTGGCCTGTCCCAGTGGCCAGGAACCAGACCACAGCCTCATCGCTGTGGATACCCCTGAATGCCCACCTGAGTGCTTGATCCTCCTTGATGAGAACAGGGCCTCAGACCCTACATGCCCACCAGGGTCCATCCCATTCTGCTCCTGCCATCTTGTTCCACCACCAGCAAGACACTGGAGCTGTTTCCAGAGCCCTGGCTCCTATGCGCACACTGGGGGCCCAGCACAAGAGGCCTGCTGGTCTTCAGAGGACCTTCACAGGTGACACCTCCCTTCTCCGGCTACCTAGGGAAGGAATCTGACTCTCCCAGGGGGGATTCTCCTAGGTTCTCTGGCTCCTCACAAGTGAATCTTGCTAACCTGGGGGGTGCAAACTGCTAAGCTCTGGCCTAAGATCCCCTTTCTCTCAAGTTCCCCACAATTCTGAGTGGCCTGGATGTTGTGGTTAACTGGGGACATCCTTGCTCCATCTCCAACTAACCCAGGAGTGTCTCACATGCAGGCCATGTCCCCTCAGGGCAATACCCAGTTCCTCACTGTCCCTGGAGAGGATCTGACTTTGCCAGTCCACAAGCAGCATTTGTCAGTTGTAGTCTTCTGAACCCCCTTTCTGGGGACCCTGGGCAGCTGAAAGTCATTACGATAACTCTGTGTAGTTGTGGTGGAATACAAAGGACATTTGGAATAGTAAGATGACACCTGTAGCAAGTTACCACAAATGAACAGTGATTGCAAAGATGCTAGAAATGACTAAGGCCCAGCGGGCAAGTAGGGATCCACGGGGGTTAGAGAGGATTTGGGCAATAGAGCAGTGAGGAAAGAAACCCGGCAGAGCTACCCATGTGGGTTTGAGGAGATGCTGGGGTGCAGATCAGTCTCAAGGTCAGGATAGAGACACCCCACAGGGGAGCCATGGGGGTGCCCACCCACACAGGCAGACCAGCCTCCACCCAGCCTAGAGGAGGGGCTACACAGTGGATGGGAGCCTTCCTGGGCCACAGAAAGTGTGGCTGGGGCTATCATGAAAGCCTCTCTGCTGAGGAGAGGCTCAAAGACCCACAAAGAAGTGCCTTTTGGGAAAAGCACCCCTGAAACTACCCTCAAAGTCTCCTCCCACTTTCTGCCATGCAGGGCTGGATTCCCTGGGGGACACAGGGCTGGATTCCCTGGTGAGCCCAGGACACAGAGCCATGGACAGCCAAGGAGGGCGTGTGGATGGCAGGTGGAGATGAACTCCAAGAGCTTAAAGCGGAAAATAGGAGTCCCTCGGCCCCATCTCCCATTCAAGCCCCCAGTGTCCCCTCCCCAGCCAGGATTTAAGATGCACCCTCCTTGCAAAGCTGCTTTAGGAGGCACCTTGATACGAGTCCTGACGGAAGACAGAAACGTGGCCCTCAATGCTTTGACCAGAAGCACTGTCACTTCAAAGCCCAGGGCCCTGAGTTCACTCGTGAGACCTCAGAGGTGCCTCTGCCTTTCTTCCTTCCCTCTCTTCCAACCTGAGTAGCCAAGAAAGTCCCTGCTAGGGAGACGTGAACCTAGTCTCACAGGGTGCGGCACAGTCATGCAAAAGGCTGCCTGTGCTAGAAATGACTAAGCACAAATGGCCGATAGATACAAGGCCGCCTTGCCTCTTCTCTGGGATGGCTTTGGGCCATGCATCTGTGCAGAGGAGGGCGCACAAACACATGTGCGTCTTTCTCCTTCACACTGTGGATCGGAGCAGACTGCCTGCTGAAGCCACATAGAACTTAGGAAAGATGTGTGGAGATTGATCAGACCTGGGTAAACCTAGACAGCTGATTCTCACAGACAGTGCCTTTCAGACTAGATGACCCTGACTTGCTTGGAGCTCAAACTTTACTGTAGGAAGCTCCAGCTCTGTCACCACAGGGACTCTTTCCTGCTCCCAGGTTCCTGCACAATTCCCCTGGGTTTCAGCAGCACCACTAACAGCTATGGTGCACATCAGCCACACCCTTGAACAGCGGTGTCTGATTCATTCTGGGTGCGAAGCTCAGTCCTGTGGTCCCCAAGACCTCCATGGTAAGTGCCCTGGCTCCACCAAGCCTGAGTCCTTTCTGCAGAGTGCTTGTGTGGGTTCTGCGTGACAACTACACCAGCCCTGCCCCTTCCTGGGTGTGGGTGTCTGCAGTCTCGCTCCCCCACCCCCAGGGTC